ATGATATGCTTATATAGTGTTATATCCATACATTTTAATTCAGACTGGATACAGACAATAGCTGTTTACGCTGTCGGAAGCTGTCTCTCAATAAACTATCTTCATTAACGACTTGTGCGGTAAACCACCGACACCAAACGGAATCGCCATGCTGGTAGTTGTTTCTTCTAGATAGAAAAATTGGGAAACAATAAATGTATTGTTGTGAAGAAACATTTTTTTTTTTTTTAATTATATTGTTTTACACATGACATTTAATACGGACGAAACCTTATACGCCGTACACGTGTCTTTGAATAATTTTAGTGGGGATACCTACTACTTTATTATTGTAATAATATTTTGCATGTACAGATTATGCGTGCATTCGAACTAGAAATGTTGCTCGATCATTGTTTCATCACATCTTTTCGATAATATTTTTTAATGTATACGAAGTCTTAATCATTATTATTGAACGAATAGTATAGTAATTTTTACGACATTTTAGTTCTTATTAGGAGTGACATTTTTTATTTTTTTTTATAATTCAGTCATTTAGTTTTATTTATTTTTTGTTTGGTTCATTGATTATACTTTATATGTTACAACGAATACAGATATTCCCACTGAATGTCACGTAACACATTTGTTCAAGATCACTGGTGCCCCGTAAATCAATCAACTTAGTCCAAATGAAATACAAGTTCAAGTAATTGTTTGTTTGAAATATGCATGTATATCATAATCAAATAATTTTTGCCTAAGAAAAAAAAATAACAATATTGGCTCTATATTATTTAAACGCATTTTGATCACTTGTGCATGTCAGAAAAAAATCATCAATTAATATAGTTTATGTGTTTACGTTTTTATCTGCATGAGTTTTATTGAATATTTCAAATCTAAATCATGACTTGACAAAAAAAACACATGCACTTATTTAATTTTTTGTATTAATAAATAATAATTTACAAAAACTAAAACGTATTTACATGTTTAGATACATAATTAATTATGATAGTGTAGTTAATAAAATTAATTCGCGTTATTTCATACAATATTTTTTTATACGAAATCTGAAAATGCTTTATTGTTAATTTGTAATTATTAGATCGCAGGAACTTAAACATAGTTTATGCGATAGAAAATATAAAAAGAAACTCAAAAATTGGACACTGGTTACTTGGAATAAGTAATAATTATAATATTTACTGTACTATTTTTACGGGAAAGGATTGATGGGCTGACAAACATTGTACCAATAGGAGGCCGACATAAATGCATATTTTTTATAATTTTAAGATAATTAATTACATTCTTAAATCCGTAATCATCTAATCTCCTGTAAAAGCTAATAATCCGACAGACAATATAAAATATCATATCGATAGTGCAAAATTATCGATAGATGAATATTTTAAAGTTTAGTTTATAGCATAGAACTACACATTTGAAGCTATTTTAAATTATAAATACCACAGTACTTCCAATTGGAGGAATCTACACTCTGTTTTATCTTCTGTCTTTTATTTTGATTTTATTTATATTTATTTATTTCCAAAAATCGTTCTTATTGATTTATACTTAAAAAAAATTATAAATATATTTAAATAATTTTTAATATTTTAAATTTTTTACTGACAACTTTCAATTTTTTTCTTCATTCTTTAATAAATACATTTTTTTATGATAAACCATAATTTATTGGGCCATATAGACTGACTCTTATATTATTCGACCCATCAGCTGTTAATATGCTAGTTTGTCTGCTCGATGATTATCGACCCAATGTCGTGATCCTATTATTACATATATGTTAAAATATTTAAGTAAGTTTGCTGTCTAAGTTTTGGGTATACGCAGAAACTTCCGATATTTCATGCCATATTATATTCTAGGAGTATATTATTATAGGTCTAAAAAAATTACGTTATTCCTTTTAGATGTTACAATTATTTACGCACTTAATACATAATTTACCATAATTTTTTCCCCAAAAAAAGCTTTTAAAGAAAACATCAAAGGCTTTCGACACAACGTATAATTTTTAATAAATAATGCTCTTTATTTTAATTTGCGTTGCTCTTTTCTTCTGATCTTGTGTAGTCATTATTATACGTATATGAATTGTGATGAATACAATATTATAATCTGCGCCTCGCATGATACCTTTATCCTCCACACGTATTATATGCACGCACGTTATATATTACATCAGGTAGTTTGTTTAATAGATTATCTTATAATATACGTTTACTCATAACGTGAACTTGAAATCGTCTTTAAACTCGAATATTTATTGTTGCTGTAATTCGGTAAACAGTCCATGCGGATGCGTATTATATGTTTGTAGCATGCGATGATATGATTTTTAATTTTTCTTATTGTACCGTTGAGATCTAAATGCACGATAAACCGTAAAAACGAATGAATTAAACTGCACGCGTATTAAATTGTACCGAACAATAAGTAATAATAATATATTCGGGTTTCACAATCATTAACGAATGTATATTTTTTAATTAAAATGATAACGATCGTTTTAATTCGTAATTCGTCATAATACGTCCATCGCGACATGCGTACCGTGGCCTTATGTTAATAAACATTATGGTTGATGGCTTCTCCAACCCTTGTAACAAAATTACAATAATTTTCAACGGCAGTTCTTTCTGCGCATATTGTACTACTGTTATTACAACGCGTTGTCCCGTCGCAAATCAGTGAAATTGAAGTTTGGGTAGCGGGGTCGTTGACGATGTTGATTTTATTAAACTGCACTGCTTTGTATGACAGAAAAAAAAACACCGGTTCCAAACAGGTTTTCTAAAAGAACAATCGCCGCTTAAAACCGTTTGAAGGGTAAGTAAAACGCATGTTCCGCGGACAAACACAAAATGACCGCTGCGTGGGGTTTGACGAATAGGAATTGTGAAAAAACTTTCCATTATAATTGTTTTTATAGGACGGTACATGCTAATTTCGAAAAGGGGAGAACCGCTCGGGCTGTCACATTAATATGTAAGTTCTCGGTTCTCGTTATCAGAATAAAAACGTCTACCTTGGACAAAATAATCTGAAACTCCCAAGAAATGGGTCAAGGTGCATGAGGGTCATATTATATTATATCGGACATTACATTATAAAACGTGCACTAATAATGTCCATCCGCGAACGAAATGCCATTTTAGTACGTCCGTACACAAGACGCGAGTGCGGTTAGAACGTCGCGCTAACTTTCATATAAGCAGAATTCACGTTAATAGTTTGCTGTGTGACATTTAGTGCGGTTTATAGAAATATGCGTTTTTTAATGCGGTAAATATTTATTTTCAAACATTATTTTAACAACAAACGTCCATTCAATAAAATTAAATATAGTGATGTATCTACCAAGTACGTTTGTCTATTAAAAAACAGTCGAATGGCTGGGAATTTTTCATTTTTATTATTCTCGATTATATCAATATAAACTTTTTATTCATTTTAATATATCGTTTAACGTTTGTCGTGCTACAATAATGTAGATTTTTCTTTGAAATAATGTTTAACTGCGTCATTATTCGATATCACCGCCACAGTGCGCCTTATAGTTTTTGAAAAGGTTAATTGATCTACGTTATTACGTTATTATATATTATTAATATATTTATTAGTGATAAATAATGATATAATAATACATACGGGACACTTGTGTTGGATACGCTCGTTTGTTGGTCCTAAATCTGTAATAAACGACCCGATAAATTTAGACCAGACGCCTTTTTACGCCGTTAGAACATTATAAACACTAGTCTATTATTGTTTTTCCCGAGTTAAAAATAGAATGGCGATTTTAATTAGAATGAAGACATATTAATGGCTGGGCTAACGCACAAATCTCTGTCGTCGGAGTCATTATGCACACACGTTGCAGATATACTGTAGTGAATAAGTACGTTCTCCGTGATTTATGTAAATAAGACCAAGAAGCATATTCGGTTTTAATATTTTTTTTAATTTTTAATATTATTTTTTTGAAGACTTCTTACTTATTGGTTTTTGGTTACTTTCGCTTATAAACTTATTAAATAAGTTATAAACATATTCTTCTTACGAATTAATTTACAGAATATTTTTTGAAAATAATACAATTATTTACAAGACTACAGGGGTCATAAACAATTTGTGTAATGGTAATACGATCTATGTCGAATGGTAAAAATTAACCGTTTAAGTAAAATAAAACGTGTGAGTATTATTATGCTAATACGTGTGACTTTTTGTACTTTTACGAAGTATTATTTACGTTAGATTTCGTAAAAATTTGATAAATACAAAAATTCATTAAAACCGAATCGACCTTACTTCAGGTGATTGACGTCGAAAGAAGCGTTAAATATTTAAAGGCTTGTTAAACGTTTAATGAATCTTAATGAAAAATCCAATCTGGTGAACATAAAACAAATTTCTTTTTTTCTTTTTGGTCCTTGATAAACATGAAAAGTTGTGAGGGTGTTAATCTTATAATCGCGTGTATAGCTATAACATTTTCAAAGTAGAAACAATATCGCTTTTATGTACAAAGTGTGGATAAACATCGTTTATATAAAGACACATTAAATATAACCCAATCCGCTGTAACCTATCGGATGTCTAACCGTAGCTGAGACCAACAGCGTCCCTGAAAATTGAATGAACTCGTAGTCAAAATGATTAGACTGTCTCTTGCAACGGAATTTTTTTTTTTTTTTATATATTTACAAAGGGTGGCTCCATTCGGGTGTCTGTTGCATTTCGATAAACGCGCATTCGGCACCCCGACAAACTCTTTCCCTGTGCACATGGCGTACGTGCGCCCCGGGTTCGAGTACGCTAGCTAGAAGACTGTAGTTTGATTGTTATAAAAAAAAAAAGTCGATCGGCGCACGGTGTATTGAAACAGGGCTGGGGAACCACTATTTATCGGCGTTGGCGACAGTGCAACGTTTGTCCTATTCCCATTTCATTGCACTTTCATCATATCACGTTAATTGCAGTGTTCATGAAGCTGACGAAGCGATGGACGGTGACATAGCATACACGACGAGGAGAAAGACCCTGAGCGTGTCCTGGACGTTGGTAACGTCCTCGTTCGCGATAATCGTGCTCCTGTGCGCGCTATGCCTGTTCTTCTTCTTTCACCCGCGCACTTGCCGGCAGCTGTCCGGCTCGCTGGCCGGCTCCACCGAGATGCTACTGGACGAGATACGTGACGTCAACTACGGGCGGCTGGACAACAACATCGGCACGACGGATGTGCGGTTGCCGCGGGACGTGGTCCCTGAATCGTACAACTTGAGGATCGTACCGTACCTGTGGCCGGACGACCGCGGTGCTAGCAACTCCACGTTCGACGGCCAAGTCAGCATCGTCGTCAACGTGACCGCACCCGTGGACAACATTACGTTGCACGCAGTCGACTTGAACGTGACGGAATGTCTGGTGACCCGGTAAGTGTGAAACATGTGAAACCGCTGCGGACGCGCGACGTGAACAAGTGAAATGCGCCGTCAAGACCCTGGGCATCGGTCGGTCCTGTTCTGCTCCTATCGAAATGTTTGCGCGACGTTCAATACGATCCCGATCGTTGTTGGAGAGTCGGTGTATTTCACTCGTATGTGGTACCAGTGGCACCGAATGTTTAACGGTCTGGTCAATAGTCACCTAGTTTACAACCCACTACCCACCTCGCCCAAGAACGTGCTTTAAGGAATTGGGAGTTCACCGTCCTCTCCAAAAATGTTTAATCTGTTTTGGCATTCGGGTACTTTAACGTTTTAAACAGTATTATAATCGTCACGTTAGCCGACCGGTCGGGCCAATTCTTTATCTTTATATTTAATTGAACGGTGGATGGAATCAACGTGCAGCCAAAATTACTGTACCGATTTATTTGAAGTATTCACGAAATGTACATATACAGGCGCCCTAAGAAAGGATTTTTCGAAATTCGCATTTTAAATGGTAAAAACAGCATAAAATAGTTAATTATTAACGGTGGGTGAGATTCGCGGTACGGCAGCGGACGACGGTTAGACGTGATCGCCCAAACTTCCCTTTTCATGTTACCGTCGTCGACTGGTCTGCTTAATATCGAACAGATCACGGAACCCCCCTAAATTGACCACCGCCTACTTCACCGACTCTATGCCGAGCCGTGAAAGTTCGTATGAATCGTTGTAAACGGAAAACCTATCTTGGAACCGCGATGACAACCCAGCGGTCAAAGACGATACATTTAAAATCTATTGCATACAATATATTATTAATTGTACTATTATAACTAACAAGCTTATTATTGATTAGTATTATTTTCTATTCTAATAAGTTCTGTTATTACTAACAAATCACAATGAATTCGAACAATCATGATGTTATTATTGATCAGGTTATTTAAGTTATGTATAATAAATAGTACGTAATAAGTAAATAGTAGAAAAATAAGGATAGTTGCCTATTTCCGATCTTTTCACTGCAACACTATTTATGCTCTGCAATCTATCTATGCGTATACCCGAACATTACGTTATCTTCAGGGCTAAAAATCTGTTTTGTACCAAGTGGTTTTTAATGTATATTATTAAGTGTTTTAGGAATTTTAAATTTTAAAATTTCTCTAGCGTTAGGAAAAACTGTCTAACAGTTGAGTGAAAATGGTTAGTTTAATTGTTTTAAAAATTTAATTGTATTCAGCATCAACGCAATAATTATGTTAGTAATTAAAAATGTATTTCTAAATATAAATGTTGCATAAATATATATTGTATTTTATCGTATGCACTTATTGACTTAGAGTAATAATTTAAACCATTATAAAATGCTTAAACATCAGAACTTAAAATTATCATATTTATTTAATTATTATTTATGTTTTTATATTTTAATCTGACAAAGACGGGTAATGCAACTAGTTTAATATAAATATATGAAATTCGTCTGTACCAATATTTATATTGGTTCATTTTATTCCATTTATAATTTATTATAAATGTGGTTAATTAATTAATTTAACCACTGCAGTAACAATTACAAAACCTGTGTATAATGCAATCAATCATTTTGGCAGTTCAATTTGGCCGATTGTTAAAAAATGGGCTGCTTTATTTTATACGCTGCATCTGCGATCAAATACTGCGCACGATCCGATACCGCGAACCCAAGCCTTAAAATGCTGTACACGTCAACAATCATTGATTATTAATAGGGCCCGGAACTTGATGACCTAAAAATCTTAAAAAAATGCACAAAAAAAAAACTATTAAAATAACTTAAAAACATCAAAAAATATTATAATTTTCAAAAATTTTGTTTTTTAACAATAAATCATCGTTTTAAAATCATTTATTTATTAATTATTATTTTATTCATCTAAATAATGCTAATATTTTTATACATGTTCTATCTTTTTAGTACTTAAACATTAAATATTATGTAAATATTTTTAAACAATACTTGTGTTACATTGAACTATCAAACTGTGTTTAATATTTTCGAAAATTAAAGATCGCCGATTGTTCGATAATAGTATTTTGTAACTAGAAAAACTTCTTTCCACTTCCACAGATGTGATTGGCGCATACTTGAAAAAAGTGATGTCATCTATATTCAAATCTTCAGGCAAGCCTTCTGTAGTCACTTCTTCTCCTTCTAACATTTTTGAAATAATCTGCATATTTTTGTAACCATTATTTTTTTCTAAAACATTATTGAATTTATTTTGAATTTCACGTCCAACTATATTTCGTGCTTGATGAATTTTATTTTTTTCTTCTTCTACAACAAGTATAGCATCAGCAAGCGTATAAATTTAATTTAATTCTAACTCGCCATCAGTGATTAAATCAATTACTTTTCGCATCATTTTCCAGTTTCATGATAATATTTTTAATTGTACCAAAATGTTAACAATAATAAAAGGCTGCCGTTAACCATGCCCCCCACCTAGTTAGAACAGGTTGTGGGGGTATTGGAATATTCGGTGCTATTTTCTTAAATATTTGTACTCTCGAAGGAGCCTTCAAAAATATTTTTTTGCAGTTAGAAATAAGTTGGTCGACTTTTGGAAAATGTTTTCTAATTTCTTCCGCAACCCTATGTAAAGCGTAAGCCAAGCAGGTCACATGTTCCATTTTTGAATAAAATACCTTGATAGCTCTATCTGCTTTGACTATATATGGTACAGCATCACTTAATAAAAGTAATACATGGTCGTGTTTTATACCATTTGGCCAAATAGTTTGAAGTGATCTATCGAAAAGTTTTGAAATTGTACTATGATTTATCTTTTCTAAGAATTCAGTATTTATTAAAAAATGTTTTCCGGGGCCATTCAACTCCAAAGTTCCCACAACAACATTTGCTACATAAAGCCCTTCGGCGTCTGTAGTTTCATCTAAAGTTACCCAAATTTTTTTATTTTCTACGTAAGATCTGATTTTATCTATAGTTTCCTGATAACACTGAAAAACGTAGCTTTTTCTTAAAGTCGATTCATCGGGAATTAATTTATTCGTATATTTTTCCAGAAATTGTTTAAATGTTTCATTCTGTAGTTTTTGCAATGGAATATTTGCGGCTAGTAGTGCCTGACACAGATCATAATTGAAAGATGATTTTTTAGATGGTTCAGTAATTAAACGTTGTGTCTTACTTGTACTTAGTTCTTGGTTTTTATTTTTCAATTCAACTCCATTAACATGTTTTTTACGCGAAATATGCTGTTCGATGGTAAATTTTTTGTCAGCTACCACTTTAACCTCACAAATTTTGCAAAATAACACTGCCATCGGATGAAAAAACGTCTTTGCCAAAATGATTTACAAACGAATTCAATCGAGTATTATTTGTAACTTTGTACTTGGGCATATTAAATCAATTATATTAAATATTTAAATTGAAAACTTTACTATCCGTCGTTCACATGTATAATGTCACTATGCCCGAAAGACGTAAAATGACAATCACACCGCTACGTCGCGTGTGTATCAGTAAAATTATTGAAATTATTTTTAATCGTACAATGTCGCAAGAAGACGCAATGTGAAGAAGATGCGTGAGTGTATGTAACGATTAGTCTATATTCTTGGTAAAACTATTAAATGGAAATTACGATAAGTTATCCATTCCATTGACGACAACGCAGGAGAAACAGCACAAAGTAATGCAAGTGTGTACAGAACTACAAACTACAGGGTCTAATAACGCGGTCTAAATTTAAAACGGAGATAAGAAATAATGTCAGTAATACAATATGCTGCACAATATGTTTACAAATATTTAGTTTTGTCAAAATAATATATTATAAGAAAAATGTAAAAAATGTAAATATATCCACAAAAATGCAAAGAATGCTCCAAAATTACTATAAAATGACCGTATAATCAAAAATTGACGAAAAATGCAAAAAATGCAAAATAAAAATGGTTCCATTGAACTATACATAACATAAATCACATTTATGTACAGACAAGCCTCATATAAACGCATTAGAAAAAAAGATGCAAATGCATCAAGTTCCGGGCCCTAATTATTAATTATTATTGTCATTCCATATTACATTATTACGTGATGGATTTCCTTATTTTATTCATAATTGCCTATAACTTTTTATCAATAATACTACTACAACTATATACTAAAACTACTATATAACTCGGTGTTATACCGCTTAAGTGGTTTTTTTTTCGGTAACCCACTATTTTACTGTTTTTAAACTAGCCCGACTCTTATGAAATCGCACCTTTTTCGTAAATTCATTATGTATGCTTTAAAGTACTCTCTTTCGAAGTGCAGTACTTTTTTTTTTATCATGCATAATATTCTAAATATATAAATGGAATGAATAAAATGAATAAATGAATAAAAACAATCAGTTACCGATCGAATCATTGTGGGTACCGCAAAATATACCAATATAAAATATATCTTCTTAGCTCAAACTTCAATACAACTTATATTAATTTTATCTACAGGCATCCAAAAATGGTCTTAAATGAACACGTAATGATGGCTGATAGTTTTTTTATACCTATTCAAGAAACGCAACTAGATCTTTCTAAACAGTTCTTCATTATCAAGTTTAAAGATATGCTAGAAGCTGATTATCAGTATACTATTTATATAAAATACACCGGAAAATTCCAAGACAACATGGAAGGATTTTATAAAAGCTCTTATCGCGTAGCGAATGAAACGAAGTAATTGATACTTGAAATATTTCTGGTTCAAGTGATTTAATTAATATTGTTTGATTTACAATCGGTTAGGAACAGGTGGATAGCTGCGACACAGTTTCAACCAACTGATGCAAGAAAAGCGTTTCCCTGTTTTGATGAACCCGCTTTAAAAGCTAGATTTACTTTAGCGATTGCAAGACCCCAAAATATGAGATCTATATCTAATACGGGACTTAAAATGGCTGTTAACTTGCCAAAACTGTAAGCCTTATGGTTACATTTTTTAACATTTTTTTTTTCTATGATTCTGAATTGGATAATATTTGACGTGTGTTCTACAGACCATCACCACTGTCGTCTTACGAATGGGACGCGTTCGAAGAGACGGTACCGATGTCTACTTACCTTGTGGCGTTCATTATTTCTGATTTCGAATATTTGTCCTCCGAGACTTTTAGAGTGTGGGCTAGAAGTGAAGTGTTATCGCATACTCACTATGCCAGGGATATCGGTCCTAGAATACTGAAGTTTTACGAAGAATTTTTCTCCATACCCTATCCGTTGAAGAAAACCGATCTTGTTGCACTTCCAGATTTTGCAGCCGGAGCCATGGAAAATTGGGGTTTAGTGACCTTTCGGTAAGTGTGCTGCTCGTGATGCATTTATGGTATTATGATCAAACATTCGAATTAGTTTTTACTAACAAATCCGGTATAAATGAGATCAATTAATTTTCCAGGGAAATAGCTATGTTGTACAACGAAGGCGTGTCTCCGAATTCCCAAAAAGAACGAGTAGCGACGGTAATAGCTCACGAACTAGCACACCAGTGGTTCGGTAATTTAGTGACACCAGATTGGTGGTCAGACCTTTGGTTGAATGAGGGCTTTGCGACTTATATCGAATATGTGGGGGTAGACCATGTAAGTCATAACATTATTATACAATCGAGATAAATATTTATATTGATATATTTCATCTGGTTCGTTTCATTGCAGGTAGAACCTAAGTGGAAAATGGAGGAACAATTTATTGTTGCTGGTATACAGAGCGTATTTTTAATGGACTCATTGAAATCCACGCATCCGATATCAGCGCGCGTGTCGAGGCCGGAGGAAATCAATGAATTGTTCGATTGCATTTCCTACGACAAAGGTGACTTGACAAGTTTTATTTTATTCGTATACTAATAATGTTTTTCAATTTTATTATTTTACCTAGGCGCATCTGTTATTCGAATGATGGACCATTTTCTTACCCGCCACGTGTTCCGAAAAGCCTTGACAAAATATTTGAACTCAAAGTACGTTATCGTTCGATAATTCAACGTTAAATATGTTTTACTACAATTATTTAGTTTGATTACAACTGTATTAATTGATTATTATGATTTGCAAAATGTATAACAACACAATATAATGGTCATACCTTTAAACAGTGTTTTTTTAGCTATTTGTATATTATAGGGGAAAGGGGGCGTGAAATATTTGCGTGACATTATTTAATTATAACATATGATTAAAAAAAAATACCCTAGTACGTATTTTAACGATTTTGACGATGAATAATGTCTACACCTCAGACCTTAGTAGGCAATAACAATTTTAAATTAAATTAAAACGGGACATATTACAAAATAGTCCGAGAAGCACTACTGTTAAAATACGAACCGTGGATACCATGAATGCTTGTCTTGATTGTAAACCGTATTGGGTCCTCGATACCTTCATGAAATATTATAAATTAAATATTAATAAACTGTACGCGTCGGAATCTATAACGGAATATTTCTTTGGTCCCATTCGATTCCGTCTCGGACAATTTTCACTTTTTATTGATTTTGTTAAATCGTCATTATGGTAAATAGTTAGATTCACGTATTAATGAACCAAAGAACAAATAGATTTAATTATAGTCATGCACATAACAAGAACGAATAAATTATGTAGGCTTGCATTAAGGCTAAAGAAAATTAATTTGTTTCTATTAGAGCTCTTAATACACGTGAATTCACGGAATTCACGTGTCACGTGTCACGTGTAAAATCCAAAATAAAAACGTATATCCTTAACTTAATACTGTACAATTAATATTTTATTAAAACTTCAAGTGTATAACATAAAATTACTAATTTTACCATTGTAAAAATGGATATATATTTTGGATAAACATGTATTTCACGTGTACACGTGAATTCCGTGACACGTGTTTTAAGAGCTCTAGTTTCTATTATTATCGAACATTGTTGCTGTCTTCTCTGAAGTATCGAAACAATTATTGTTCGACTGCAATATTATTAAAACGTGTTAAATGTGTATTGTATTAATTCGGTTTGTTCTGTTCTACGATAGAGCTTACAAAAATGCGTGTCAGAATGACTTGTGGGATGCTTTAACCGAGCAGGCTCATAAAGATCGTGTTATGGATAAAACATTGACTGTAAAAGACGTTATGGATACATGGATACTTCAACCTGGATTTCCAGTTGTAAACGTGACTCGTAATTATGAAGAGGATACTTTAATTGTTTCACAGGTACATTTTTGTTTACACACTTATTGTTATGATTTGTTAAAATTATACGTTACAGAATCCGTATTCAACAATTATTTAAAATTTAAAATTATATTAAAGCGTATAATACTATTTGTCGTTAGTAATATTGCAATTGTTATGAACTATTGATTTACTCATTTCAGACTGATTTCAGGTCGTTATTTTATTTAAACACAATTTTATGTGTACCTTTTAACTTATTTTCATTAATTTCGTCATTTAACTGATTGAAAATTGCCATTGAACACAGTATTATCATATTTATACAATTATTAGGTATACTGTAATACGATAAACAAAATTGTCAATTAAAAAATCATCAATACCAATATCATTAGGATTTATTTAATTAAGTTGTTTTACATAGTATACATAGTCTATATTTTCTGTTATCAAATACCTTTTTTGTTTTTCTGTGGGTATAAAAAACATTGTTGAGAACATCACGCGTGTTTCAGAGTCGCTTTCTTCTTCACGATTCTAAAAATGATCAGTTCAATAACTTTTGGTGGATACCACTCACGTTTACTACTTCATCGAAGCTAGACTTTTCGGTTACAAAACCGAGCTACTGGTTCAAACCTGAAGAACTCATGTTGATAACCGAAACGGGAATATCTTCAAAAGATTGGGTGCTGTTCAACATTAATGAAACTGGATTTTATAGAGTGAACTATGATTCGAGAAATTGGAATATGCTAATTGAATACTTAAACGACCCAGACAGTTATTCTAATATTGGTCAGTATAGTACTTTTTTATATAAATAATATCAGAACAATAGGATTATCAATGCTTTAAGTATTGCAGGTACTATTAATCGAGCCCAGTTGATAGATGATGCGATGTCCCTATCAAGAGCAGGATATTTAAGTTATCAAACTTCTCTCGACCTGACTAAATATCTTTATCATGAGACTGAATACGTACCATGGAAATCAGCGTACAGGTCTTTCACGTATTTACATCAAATGCTTATCAAAACGGCAATTTACGACAAATTAAAAGTAATTTCGTGTTAATTACTGCGATCGTTGTTTTGTAATAATTTCTTTGTTTTCTCTTCGCAGGCATATGTCTTACACTTAATATCCCCGATGTATAAAATAACCGGTTTTGCTGACAATCCTAGAGACGACCAGCTAGTTATATATAAAAGATTTAGTCTATTATCATGCGCGTGTGAGTTGGGACACTCGGATTGCGTACGAAATGCAGTGGCTCAATTTCAAAATTGGAGATCAAATCCTCAACCGGAAAAAAACAACCCGTAAAGAAGTGTTTCAACGTTATTTATGATATCTATATTAAAGTTTAATTTGTTATGTGTTCATTTTTTTTTTTTTTTAGGATTTCACCAAATCTAAAAGCAATTATATACTGTACAGCCATTAGCTATGGAAGTGAGGAAGAATGGGACTTTGCATGGAAAATGTATAAAATGACTACAGTTGCCTCCGAAAAAGATTTATTATTAGACGCTTTGGGGTGTAGCAGAGAGACGTGGATATTAGCGAGGTTATTTAAAAATGCAAAAAACGTGTACTTTAGTATATATGTTAAAATAACAATTAGGACTAACAAATAATCATAAATATGTACCTACACTATTTCTGTATTTGGAAAATTTAAAATGTTTTGACATAGGTTCCTCAGTTATGCTTTACAATCCAATTCATCGATCAGGACTCAAGAAATAAGCAAAGTATTTTATGCCTTAACTAATAAAGTAGCTGGTCAAGAAGTAGCGTGGAACTACGTCCGAGATCACTGGCGTGAACTTAAATCGACGTGAGTTACATCAATATAACGATCAATATATATCTATATTTTTATAATAATAATAATTAATATTACATCCATGGGTCATAGTTTTGTTACGGGATTTTCCACAATGAGCGAAATTATAAAATCAGCTACGTATCATTTCAATACTAAAAATGATCTGATTCAAGTACGTAATATAATATTATAACAAATAATGTACACGTACACTTTGATAAACATAATTTAAATTCAGAAATTTATAATGATTTATAAAATCAAATTTTTTTTTCTAGTTATGGCAGTTTTACAAAGACGAAGAGGAATATTTAGGTTCGGCTAAAAGGAGTGTACTGCAATCGATCGAAAATGCGCAAGCAAATGTAAATTGGATGGAGAAAAATTTTAAAACAATTAGCAATTGGTTACAAAATGACACGTTATATGTGTCCCAATATACCAACGAAGTGGATTAGATTTTTATATTTTATAACTTTCTGTAGAATGTAAATATATTATAAGTAGATTAAACTAATGACTAAGCTAAAATTAATTGTTGACACTTTTGTGTCTTTTTCGCTAAAGATTGTCTTCTAAAGACTGTTTTTATTTTTAAACTGCTACATTATGATTTGGTGTTTATTTTCATTATTATAATTTTTTTTTTTTTTTTTTTAAAGCAGTTTATGCTGCATTTAATTCAAACAGTATTTTTATATATCTAATTTAAGATAACATTATTTACATTGTATCTAAACATATTTGATTATACAATTTTATTTTAAAATTAATTTATACAATATTTTAATAAATATAAACTATGAGCATTAGTTCCTGATGGCTGATAGGTTATACACTTTATGGGTTATTCAATGTTCATTTAGTCTATATTATATTGTATTCAGTGTTAAGTGTTCACATTTCAATAAACACTCTTAATTATATTTAAATATTGCAATTTTTCATTTGATTTTGTTATTACTTGTTGACTGGATACTTAAAACTTTAATCCTATGAACAACAATAATTGGTTGTTTATAATTATTGTTTTATGCTGTAAAATATAAATTAATACATAATAAATTATTATTATTAATTATAGAGCTAATAAAATATATCTACATGCTGAAATAAAAAATAAGTACTCATAGATTAATATTATAAGACACAATATTTTGAAACTATATCTCATAACTAGGGTTCGGAAGTTGTAAGAGTTGCATATTATTTTATATGCTCTCAATTTATAGTAGACCAAGTTCAAAATCCGAGCTACACTATGGGTAATTTAAAAATGGAAAATTAAAAATGCATATTTTGCATATTTAATAAATTTTAGTGTATATTTTGTTGATTGTAAAATTTGTAAAAATTATATACCTAATATATATTTGTTGATATGCATATTAAATAATTTGTAAAAAATTGATATTTTTCTTTCTTAACGTGTACATACGTTTAATGTTTCACCTCAAACATGACACTAAAAGTTTTTCTCAATATAGCAATCTATCAAATAATCAATGATCATTTGAAATTTAAAATCTTAAAAAAATATTGGTGGTTCAACGAAATAACTTAACAATCATTATATAACATATATTTTTTTTAACTTAAAAAATATGGAAATAATATTTTTTATTAATATTTTCGGTTCAATAAGATATCAAAATGCCAACAATTTATACATTTTTTTCAGTTACAAATCATTTTTGTCTATTTTAGTAATATGTATGTACGTATGTATAACAGATGTATTTTTTTATGGAATTCAGAATCATTTTTGTGCGAATTTAACATTTTTGATGAATATTTTACAGTTTATTGTTCATATTTTGCCTCTTTTAGCAATAACTTCTGAGCCCTACTTATAACAATATTTTTCAAAATAATTATAAGGTAAATATATGTAACAAAGTTTTTTTCTAGGCCCTCGTTTGTCATTTTTTGTTAACATATTTTTCTAAAATATGATTCATATTTCGGTTTTTTATCAATGATTCTTAAGTATTTTTATCTTGAATACACTCTAGAATTAAGTTAGTTTCCCTGTAAAATTATTATGAATTCAAAGCCTAAAGTAAGGTCAATAGTAATTAGAGAATTTCCTAATGTGGGGGGAGGGAAACCAATTATTAAAAATTGTATACTGTTATTTACTAAGTGTATTTTTTAATTTTTGCACATATCAAATTTTATAACTTATTTTACGATCATTAATTGTAACTAGAGCTAGGACTTATATGCATTTGCATGTTTTTTTCCTTAAGTCTAAATTGATTGGTTTTCAGTAGGTATGTCCACAATTTGGCCTATTGTCGATTAAATAGAACCATTTTTATTTTTCTGCATATTTTTGTATATTTTGAATATAATATATGTAATTGCATATTTATAGATTTTTGATATTCTTGTAATTTTGTTCATTTTTAAATTTAAATTTTCTAGTTTTAATAATATTGCTAATTTTAAATGGTATGAACGTTTATTTTTCGATTTGTAAATATAATACATATACAGTGTGATCCCTTTTAAAGGTAACACAAAATTATGTCCAGTGACATCTGATATGCGGTTTTCAAGAGGAGATAGGGAATGCCTAAATACACATTTTTTGATAGTTTTCAAATGTTTAACTCTTTTATTGTGCGCATGCGCAACACAATTTGCATTTATTTAAATAGCAACAATTACTTTAAAAAACATATTTGGATAAACCGACAATTTTTAAGTCAATTTGGTCCTTTTTACCATAGCTCTAAATTGACTAAATGTCAATGAGTTAAATGTTCGATTAAAACATTATCGATTGCAGACATTATTTAATCATTTTAAGTTAATTTTAAAGAGTTAATTAACTTCAATTCGAGGTAAATGTTAGTTAATTTACAAAGGAAAAATTAAACAAACTGAAATGATTTATTTCTTATAACTTTTATGATTAATGTTTCGATTTAAATTGTTATTACTATTTTTTAATTTTTATTTTTCGTGAAATAAGTGGTCAATTACTTGTAATCATTAAGATTATTAAATTTGCAGTCCTTACAAAAATAAATCAAATTTTATTTATCGAGTGCTAAGAATAATATTATCTATATTATATAATATTATAATACTCTACCTTTAAATGTTCAAGTTCACAAAAATAAAATTGTAAAAGCTTGCGCAGAACTTCAAAAGGAACAGATATTAGCAGCTACTCAAAGAGAAATAATGCGTCGATTTCAATCTTGCATGGAGAATGATGTACTTATATTTTAATAGAAATTATTAAATTTATAAAAATGGTATTAATTTGTTTAATTTTTTTTTTAGTAAATTATTAATTTAGTAAAATTTAAGTCAAAGGCGTAATTAAGATTAATTAATCGCTCAAAATTTAATTTAAATTATTTAATAATGTCTGAAAACCTATGAATACAAGAAAATAAATAAATACTTAAAATTGCATGACAATTCATAAAATTCTAGGATGATTGTTGAAAATTCATTAATTTTAATCGAAACCTTAACTCGTCATTTAGTCAATTTTGGTTGTAGAGCTATGGTAAAAAGGACTAAATTTACTGAAAAAATGTCGGTCTATCCAAATCTGTTGTTAAAAGTAAGTGTTGCTGTTTAAATAAATGCAAATTGTGTTGCGCATGCGCACAATAAAAGAGTTAAACATTTGAAAACTATCAAAAAATGTGTATTTAGGCATTCCCTATCTCCTCTTGAAAACCGCATATCAGATGTCACTGGACATAATTTTGTGTTACCTTTAAAAGGGATCACACTGTATATTATGCTCAACACCATCCTACTGTTTAAAACGCTCATGCTGACAGTCAATGGTACAAATCAAGAATGTTACGTATATTGGTTATATTCTATGGTTATACTAAAATTCGTCTTACGAGTCCATAAATGGGTAGTAGCTTTGATTTTACAATATAAAATATATTACAAAAATCAATGGGAGCAGCAAAGTTATTTTAACACAAATATACTATATTCCTTTAATTATATTTTTTTCTGGTCACACTGTAAGATATCAGAAAAATCACATTACCATACTCGTATTATCATTTTTTCACTATCTTGTTTCTGCGATAACTTTTTGTTTATATTTATGTTTATCTTGTAGTGACAATTAGTATTTCATTTACGTTCGTTCAAAATAGTTGACTACTATTTTCTAACGTAATTAATCGTTGAAAAAACATTTTAAGTATCGATAATTGTAGATCTTTGGATTTTAAATTATTTCTATTTCCTCATTTGATACTTACAGATTATTTCTGTTTTTGTTTTTGTAATTTTTTTGCGTGTTCTTTTCTATAGAATAAAAATATAAACAATGGCTCTCGCTAGTATGCAAAGGAAAACCAATGTGAGTATAAAGTATTTGAAGTTTCAAATTTGCTAAGATAAAAGTATTGTTTGTGAAACAAATATTATTTTTTGTTTCAGGTGCGATTACCTCCGGAGATAAACAGAGTTCTATACATAAGAAATTTACCTTACAAAATAACAGCTGAAGAGATGTACGATATTTTTGGAAAATATGGTGCTATTCGTCAAATTAGAGTGTAGGTATTTTTAATAAATGCTTCCAAAACTGATGTATTTTTTTGACTTGTTGAAATTTAACTTATGTTTATATTTATAAAATTTATTTTTATTATGTATTTAATATTTTGCCATTCTGAAATAAGAATCATTATTCAGTTCAGTAGACTTTTAATAGCATGAAACTAGGTACAATAGTAAAATATAAAAAATTTTAAAATTGTATAATATTTGGTTTCAATTAATCAATTAAAAATGTTCATAATGGTATATATCTTTTATTATAAACAATAAACTGTAACAAAATATTAAAATTGATATACTTTATTTTTCTAAATAATTAATTTACTTATATTTTATCAGATATTGTCACTGTATTTAATTTACTATTTAATTTCATTCAAATTATTTGAGTTGTTAACATTCTAATGGTCACTTGGTGTATTTTTCACACTTGGTTGCACTGGGTACATATTTCCCAAATCATATTTTTATTTGTAAGCTTTGTGTAGGTATATATTATAATGTGTATTTAATTGTTTTTAATACAAATTTGGTTTTTTTTTTTATTTGATAAATAAAATGAAAAAGGGCAAAAACTCTAGGTTGGGCAAATGACATTGTTCTGTTGGTTTTGAAACAAATGTACCAATACTTTCAAAAAACCATTCTGAATAAAAGAGATTAAGTGGTTTTGTTTATATTTCTAAAGATGATTGATATATTAGAAGGTCAAACATCTGAATAAAATGGGTTAAACTTTTGATGTTCTAACTTTTACAACTCATAAAGGGGCTTTGTAAATTTAGGAAAAATCAAAAATGTAAGTGCCTATAAACAGCCAGTACTGTAACTAGAGTTTTACACAGCTATAAAACATTTATTTTCTGTTGATTATATTTTAAATTAATTTAATGACTATTTATTTTTAATTTTATCAGAGGAAATACTCCTGATACAAGAGGAACAGCGTTTGTAGTATACGAAGATATATTTGATGCAAAGAATGCCTGCGATCACTTGTCTGGATTCAATGTTTGCAACCGATACTTAGTTGTTTTATATTATCAGGTATCATTTTTCATTAATATTTTAAAAAATAGAAAAAAACTTATACTTATGCAATGTATTTTATTTTTTAGTCAACCAAAGCGTTTAAAAAATTGGATACTGATAAAAAGAAAGCAGAATTAGAAAAAGTAAAAATGAAGTATGGTTTGAGTGAAGAAAATTAGAGGTGATTTATTTCATTTGGTTCGGCTGACACAGATTAAAGACATATTATAATGTATTGATTTCACTATACCATAATATGTAAATATAAAACTAATAAATATGTGTTTGAATTTAAAATTATAATTTTAGTTTATAAACATTTGAAGACTTGAACTTAACAAAAAAATAATTAATTATATGCCATGATACTTCATTTTAAAAAATTGAACAATTCCAATTTAACTCACTTTTGGTGTTTTAACATTTTCAAAACTATATAGATGTGCTATGAAGGTAATTAATTTTAAGTAAAAGGAAATCACTCATATACAATTTATTTATGCAAATAATGTAACTTAATTTTTGAAATGATTACTTATGTGAATCATTGTTGAAGTACCTACAATTATTTTAGTGACTTAATTCAAACATATTATTACTCTCGGACAACATACTAAAAATGCATTCAGGTAAAAAATATATAAAGTGGAAACAATATCTAAATTCTAACCCAATGATGTACCAAGAGAGGTGATATGATTTTTTACCCAAAATATACAAATGTATATTCAATTTTAAAAGAAAATTTTAAAAAATGTGAAAAAATTTTAATTACTCATTTTTTGTTATACCTAATAACCATGACTACCAAGATCGGTGAAACCCGAATGTGCAAAAAGTAAAAAGTAAATGTATCTAAAGATAACCCTGAAATATTTTTACCCATTTCTAAAACTTCTGAAGATTGTCATTTTTTTTATTAAGTTTGGCAAAATGTATTATACAATATTTGAATGAATAATGTCGAGATTTAATGTTAATTATTTTGAATCCTAACAATATTCAATACCATAATATTATGCAATGATATTTGATCAGTATTGTTTTACGAATGCAATGAGTCATCATAAAATAGCTTTTGAAATATTAACACCCGAATGACTCATTAATATTCTGCATTCCTACCTACTGCTTTAGATCTCAGAAAATGGCTGTTTATTTTCAAATGAAGATTCTTGGCTCTTGAAATTTGGTTAGAGATCTTCATGTCACCGGTGGGCTGACCGCGTTAATCGTCATTAAAGCGATAACAAAATAAACTAATCGCCCGACCCGCAACATTAATAACACGACAGCGAATGACTTTCGAATCTGGTGTTATATTCTGTGTAGCATAGAACGCTGCGGTAGATGCATTATATCAGTATAAATTATAATTGTTACACTACATATAATATACATTTCCTGTAATATACTATACTGCGACGGATATAATATAATTACTACAAATGGATTTTATATTATACAAACACTAAGGTGTGCATTAGGTGTAAATGATATAATAATTAATAGTGTCTGCTTGCAAAACGAAGCGCTGGTCTTCCTTGTCGGCAGTGGCGTATTGTCATTGTTTTTAAGAAGCAGCCGCTCCATCAATATTTTAGGGGTGGGTGGTTAATAATTAGGTGGGTGCTCTTTTGGTTATACGAAGAATAGAATTATTATTTTGTAATCGTCAGACATCAATAGATTACATAACATCTAAATATCACAACATATAATAATATATAGGTACCGTATAATACGTAGTAGTGTAGTACGTAATACGTATAGTATGTTGTCTATACACTTATACATTACCTATAATATATAGTTAACCGGTGTTTAAAAAATAAAATGTTATATTGCCAATAGTTTATTTTAATTGAAGTTAAACAATTATGGGACTTGAGCAAATTAAGTATGCATGTAGCTGTAGCATTACAATGAAGCTTTTCATTATTATTATGCGTATTAAATGGATTTACATGTACCAATACATTGATCAAAACTGTTAAATAAGTGATGATCAATCATCACGAAAAGTACTATATTATACTATGTTTTTATAGGATTTGAATATTAGTTTGGTATAAAAAGAGAGGACAACTATCCAAATCAGTTGTTCAATATGTTTGTTATAGGTGACAATGCGAGCGGTTTTGTTGTGTAGGGGCGTTTAAAAAACAGGTGGGTGGGTGGATGGTTTGTAAGAATCTTCGCTCCTCGCGTAAAAGTAGTTCAACACCGCCACCGCTCGTCGGCACCCGAATACCCGTGATCTTCGTGCCGCCTCCCCCACTCGCACGGGTTCGGGTATTTCGTGCTGCACACAATTGCAACAGTGCACGATGCGAACGGGCGATTCGTATGGACATTTCGTATATAAACTTACGTTCGTGTACAATGTTCGCCGCCGGTACCGAGTGCACGCCCATGTGCGAACGCGGTTCTGGTACACATTTACGTACGGTAGGTACACGCCGTGAACACGTACATGATGCTTACATTCGGGTGACCGTGGTCGTGTTGTATAACACCTCCGCGCGGGTTTCGGACAGGCAGCGGAAGAAACCTGTCTCTAGCGCGTTTCAGTATCCGTCCGCGTTTCGGTCAGTGCGCGCTTTCCGACCGTCCGCGCGGTGCGTCGCGTTCCGAGAACGTTTTGCTGCACGTTGTTCATCGTTACTCTCCGGGTACAACCGTACGGTATCGTATCGCGAATATCGGATTACACCGCATTGTATTGCGTTACGTCGCCGTATCGGTTAGACGTTTGAAAATAAATTCAACAACACGTCCGCGAGTAAAAGTAAATTATTTTAATGTTCACTACGGGTATTCATTCGGCTACCGTATAACTTATGTGCGGGCGTGCGTTGATTCACTCGTTGTACCGTTGTGTTCGCCGTGGTGAACTGACGAGGAACGTTCGGTGAAAACCGAGAGATGTATGATTAACCGTTTCAATAAAAAAACAAAAAAAAATCGTTTAGTGTACACTGGCCGTGCGATTACGGGACGAGATGAAATCCGACCAAAAATAAATACAATCTGCAGAGAATATCTTTAAGGCTCGAAGCATTGTATTCAACATCGCACCGATCGCAATAATAGAAATGGATCAAAACTACGGCGATGAGTACGAACGGTTGCTGAGCGAGGGAGATCGATCGGATACGGACGACCGTCACGATGACAAGCACCCGCAATCGTCACAGGACCAGTTGCAGCCACGACAGCAACCCGTCGAGATCGGACAGAAAGTTGCTTACGGCTTTGGACACGTGTTCAACGACATCACCGCAACCATTTGGTTTTCCTACACCATGGTGTACATGCAAGATGTCGTCGGCATGTCTCCAGCCATGGCAGGATTTTTGCTGTTTTTCGGTTTGTGTATAACATTATAATCGTATATTTTGTACCTTCATCGGTTTCGAAAAGGCGATAATGAATCAGTCAGTTAGGACAAGTCATTTTATATATACCACTATATCTGTGGCAAGGATCTGTAAAATTACCGATTTACACTTTTTTTAATCTGAAGGAGTCAAGAATTGCTTAATTTTGTGAAATTTCAAATCTCATGACTAATACAGTTTTTAAGACTTGAAATTATTACAATATGATGATTAGGATGCACTATGAGATAAAAGGTTTCAGTATTACCATTGATTAAATTATCGTTTACAGCAACATTTTATAACGGCTACATTCATTTTCCGTGTAATTTGTTTACACTGCCATCCATTAGGTACTACACAAATATCTATTTTTTTTATATATTAAATGGTTATAGTTATTTTTGTACTCGATAATATCGAAATCTTGATTTACGTATAGCATATTATTACGAAGTTTAAAAGTATTTGAATTTTTTTACCATAAATCCTCTTTTTAATCAAATATTTTAAAGTATTTTGATGTAGGTATATAATTAATAAAAACAAACATTACTACTACAAATTCATTTAAAAATCCGAGTATTCTGAATAATCCAATTAATTTCTATTATCTGGAATATACGAACAAAAGTATTGAAATATTAATGACATCACTATTAAAGAGAGGTTAGAAAAATATTTTATGATCTCAAAATCTGAAATATATAGAAATACTCAATGCATGCATAATATATCATAATTTATGTATTGTATAACTTATTTTAAGGCCGAGTGGTAGATCAAGGCAGTGTTGAATTCACGGAATAAATTAAGACTTGAAGATATAGGATATAGAGGATTGGTGGAAAGTGGTTCAGGATAAGGATATTTAGAAGGCTGTGACAGTGGCGAAAAAGATTCTTGAAGAGTCATAAAGAAAAAGATAACTTATTTTAACTACAGTAGTATTGCTGATATTGGCTCTTTTTACACACCTAAACTGCCACAGGATGTAGGGTAAAAAAAATCCAAATAAGTTTTTTAAACTTTGTTATAATAGTATTTTGTGTAATACAATACATGTACTCGTAAATACAACACTTCTATGTTATTTACAAATATAATACGTTGTAAAAAAAAAATATAAATCTGAAACCGTCTCTGTATTGTTTATACCTACATATACGTCATAACCTTCCGTCGAAGATACGGGTCCTTGTCTTATCGACTAACAACAGATATTTGCTGTTGATGTTGAAATGAAGATCACTCATCCATTCTTGAGTTCCTCATACAACTATTATTAATATTCTCGTCTAATCATTTAAAAGTAAATCTAATAACTGAAGGACAAAGTAAAACTGATTACGAAATCAACATAAGAATTATTCGCTCTATAAAGTTTAGTTTAATAAAAATAACATTTAAATTTCAAATATTAATGACATTTTTCAAATTCAAATCTAATTAGTATTAGATTTTTATTAATTAATTAGTAGCACTTATTTTATAATTTATTGAGTAAGTATATTATTTTTTTTAAATTTTTTTTTTCGATTTTCAAAATGCATTATCCGGTTTCGATTTATGGATAAAGGTATATATAGTCGATTTATACTAGTAGATAATTAAGGTTAAATAATTGATTATATTTACATGTGTGTATAATAAATCATCGGATTTTATAAAAAAAAATAAACTACCTACACAAATTTTTGTATGAAGAAACTAAATCATTACTATGATAATTAAGAACGGAAACACAACTAGAATGCACTCTTAATAGCTTATACATAATTCCAATTATGAACAAGTTACGACATAACAACAAATAAATATTCCACAAGCGGTCATTTTAACGGCTTACGTAGAGTAGCTAAGTAAAATAATTCTAAGTATAGTAGTATATATGTCATTACTTTAGGTACCTAACTAAACTATCGTAAATGTTTGTTTAATTGTTTTATAAATTGTATTTTTGAAGAATTAAAAATGGTAGCGGAATAAGTAGTGATAATCAAACTTGATCAACCAAGATTTTATACGATTTACTAAAATGTACAATATAAAATATACTTAAGTAATATAAAAAAAAAAAAAATTGTTATTTATAAATTATATTTCATCGTATTTATATAATATTGTTTTTAAATTAAGAAGTTTTATATTTAATAAGTTTTATGAGTTTGTCATCTTTGAGTAGAGCCATTTTACTAACTTAGTTCACACAATATTCTTGGACAGTGAAAAATTAGTAGTGACTAATATAGCAATGGCAAACTATGCGATTCATTTGAATTATAACTTAGGTATCATTTATATACATATTAAATTATTATCATTGATACCCAAGTATGGTGATTTAAATTGGATGACTTATTTCATTTTAATAAGAGGTTTATTTTTTCGAATTGATTCACTTTAAACACGTTCAACTAAGTGGAGCTAGAAACATCAACGTTGCCTTTTAATATTCTCCCTTCTTACTTAACATTATAATAATATAGGTATGTTAATAATAACAACGTGAGTATTAGGTCACCAGACCTAAAATGTATGTCTGGTATAAAGTATCTTTAACTATTTTTAAGCATTTTTCTTTTCTCCAAAAAAATGTAATACATTATTAATCATTTCAAAACGAATAAAGTAAAATCAAGTTATTAATCTTCGGTGAAAATTTGAATATAATATTACAATAAAACCTACTTACATATGTATTGTGTACCTATATATTAGGATTTACAACTTCGATATCAATTATATAACGAATAAAATCATAAACTATTATTTATTATCTTTAGGTGATAAGACATTAAAATAAAATTGATTAGTATTATATTTTAAATATGATTTAATAAAAATGTTGGTAAAAATAATATTCATAATATGGAAACATGATTTACCACTTATTGACTATTGTGGATTTTCCGTGTTTAATACCATCAATAACTCTTTAAATGCATTATTATATAACATGGGTGTATAACCTAGTAGTGCTGTAATGAAATTTTATATTTACAGGACAAACCATAGATGCCATATCAACACCTTTCGTGGGAATTATTGTTGATAAATTCGGAAACAAAAAAAATTGGATTCTATTAGGTAGGTATTTATAATTATGTATATGCATAGGCGTGCGCACGGGAGGTGCCGGGTGTGCCCGGACTACCTCCCACTCCTAATACGCTGTAAATGGGGCCTACAGTTTAAGTCTAAAAATATGAGTCCGCATTTTAATTGATGTTGCTCGAAAGAAATGTTATTTATTCTAAAATATTTGGTAAAAAATAAACGATGTTTCGTAATCGAAAATAATTAAACAAAACGTTTTACATTTTCATGCTAAAACTTATTATGGTAATATATCAGCTACGATTGACTCCATAAGTACAAATTATAAATAATTGAAGCTGTCTGAGAAAAATATTCGAGATTTAAGGAAAACATATTCATTATAACTAATATACCACAATATTAAATAAAAAATTAAGGTTATGTTTATTTAATCATTTATACATTATATTTTATTAAATATACCTATACATTTTGTTAAAATTGGGCCTAAAAGTATTGTAACCGTAAACCCTAACCCCTAAAATACATGTCTACACCAAGCGCAGATCCAAGGGGGTCCGGATAGGCCCTAGTGCATCTGAAATTTTCAACAAAGATGATTACGATATAAAGTATTGTTATACAAATTAATGTTTTAAAATATTTATTGTAACATTTCACATTTATTTAATAAGTAATATTATTTTCCTACAGTAGGTAATTGTGAACGTAGTCACATAACAGCAGAATATTACGTACCGGTATTTCTTATAATAACATTTAATTTTTTTGTGCGGTTAACTTATGCAAATAAAAACAATTAATGTTGATTTCAGAAAGAATTAAACTCTATAGTAATATATATATCATAGTTAAAAACATGAGCGCATCATTTTTAAAGCTAGAAATGTACAGACAAATTTTAGTAATTCCAGTTTCCAGTGCTACAACTGAAAATGGTTTTTCAACAGTGAAAATAATAAAAACCTACAAAAGACAAACTACGACCGGAAAACGATTACATAATCTGCCGAAATATATTATATCATATTTATATTATATATATATTATATTATATCAATCGAAAAAGAAAGAAATGAACAATTAATTAAAAATCTAGACAAAATTCTGAATTATTTTGCATGTGATAAATCAAGAAGATTTTTAATAACTTAATAAAATACATAAAAATAATTTTGTATTTAATTTTAATATAACTGTGTTACATATCTGTATTAATTTTGGGGGTTATATTTATGGATCTATCGAAAAAAATATTTTTGGATCCACACCTGGTATGCGCACCTATGTGTACTTATATATGTCTTATATTGTCTTATAAAATATAATTATAGCAGTTTTGTTACTCAATTGTTATAAACTAGTTTAATTTTCATTTTTCAGGCACTGCATTGAAAACCATAAGTTTCCCGTTAATATTTTACATTTGGAATCTATCCATGTTCGTAACCACTATGATTTATGTTTGCGCAATATTTACGTTCCAAATGGCATGGGCTCTTGATCAAATTTCTCATTTGTCTTTGATACCTGAATTGACGAGTTCATCTGTAGAGAGGGGAAAATTAACTTCAATAAGGTGCGACGGGTATAATAAATTATAATACATATATATGTTTATTATATATAATACATAAACCTGTTTATGTATTAAAGTTCGTCAAATTCACAAATCTACGTATAACGTGTAGTGTTATACATGTTATTCATATAATTTATTGTAATTAAACGCATTTGTATTTTTAGATATATGTTCATAGTATCCACGAATATTTTAATGTTTATTATCGCTTGGTTCATATTCAGGGGTGTACGTAGTAATAGCAACTGGAGCAGTCTCATTGGTCCTAATGATTCACAAAAATTTCAAGTTAGTTCGAGTAAAGTATTGAAGGTCTATTCTAAAGATCAAATATTCGTTTATTAATAAATTAGTATTTATAAGTATGAATATATATATAGTGTCAATGTGTCATCTTATTTTTTACTGTGCAACGTCAGTATTGAAGGTCATTTACAGTCTAATAAAATTACATATAACAACTTATAACGATAATTAGGTTCTACCTAAATGGGTTGTATTTTTGGGAAGGAAAATCATGGCTCAGTGACCATCAGGGACACGTATCAATAACACTACTTTGGATATCTAGTTGATGTAGTGCTCAACTTGAGGGGTTTCAAAGAGATCGAGTTACTCAACTTTTTTTTAAAATTTAATGCATTGGATGGTTTGTAATTTGCATTTAAATTTAAAGAATACAAAATATATTTTTTTCTATCAATATTATATATTTTTTCTAGACTATTATGTAGGTACATGAGTATCTTTTATAAATATTTCATTGTTTTTCAAAATATATAGACAAAAGTCTATGTTCATGTCAAAATTAACACGCATTATATAATAACCAATAACTTAATTATTTATGAGTCTAAATTTCGTAGATTTTAGCCAAATTAACCACTACAAAAATAATATTTTTTTAGCTATGGCATAGATGCAACTGAAGTCAAATAAATTAATTAAATTGACCACCTAAAAATAAGTTAAAATAGAGTTTTTAAACTTAAAAGAGCACGCGATTAAAACTTAGGTTGCGACGAAATAAAAAAATTGTGGGAATATCTTATTTTTTAACGTATGTAATCATTATTCAGTTCCAATTTAGAATATTATTTTGCTAATTGAAATACCGAGTGGGCTCTAAAGCAATTAATATCTATATTTAATAAAGTAGATATATCATTTAATAATTAGAGCACAGAAGTAATTTAATGTTATATTATATTGTTTTAGATATTAGCATTAATCACCACAATGGTTGGAGTGTTTTCTGCATTGATTTTCCAAATGTTTTTGAAAAATCCCAGAAATAATTATAGAAAATTGACCTATGGACAGAACCGAGCGGTGAACTTTAATAAAATAATTAAGTTTTGTAAAACCATGCAGTTATATCAAGTGGCCGTTGTGTTTACGACGTGTAAATTGTTGATCAATATCGCTCTAATTTACATACCACTTTTTATCAACGAATCGGCAATCGATGAGTCCGGCACTATTGCTAGCATACCATTAGTGGCGTATTTGTCTTCTTTAGTCACCTCAATAGGTGTGGAATACATCAAACCCCGATATAAATCCGATAAAGTAAGTTAAATGTTAAAAATCCTGTAAATAATTAAAATTAGTCATTATTTTTTAAATTCCTATATCTATGACTCACCTATATCTTAAAAAAAATGTGTTACGAATAATTCATAAATAAATAATTATTATTTATAACTTTAATTATATAAAAATAGAAACTATAGAAAATCACATTTGAAATCTGTGTATATTTATTAAGGTACCTAGTACCTACATAGTTCAGTCTATATTTGCAATGACATTGAATAGGTAGGTATGCTAAACGACATAAGTTGAAGTTCCCGTGCAGGCAACCTGTTAGTGTTACTCTCTATAGTTCTTTATTGATTTTAACCAATATATAATTTATTATAATGTAATGTATACTAAAGTAACATGTTTATATTACCTATAAATTTCTAACCATTCTAACTAGCTCGTAAAGTAATGTAAAATAAAAATAAAATAATTAAGCTCATGGGCGGATTGTCGAACTTTTTTGGACCGAGAATTATGGATCAAACCGGCTATTTACAGTTACAGTTAGTAAAAGGATCACTTTTCGATTCAGTTGTAATTGATAATGATAATAGTTGGGTGATTTCTAAAAATGTCTTGCTTTATCTTGAGCATTTTTGTACGTAGGTATGTAAAACAACTGCTAAAAATTCTATATTAATAACTGGATAATCATATATTACATGTTTCTCTTCAAGCCATCCTTTATTTCGTGAATTCAATAGTATAATGATTGGATTTCCTTCCTATACCACGTATAGATTAAAACCACTAGACATTACAGTTTTCGACTGCCTAAAAACGTATTACAGTCAAACTTTGACACATTTATGATTAATAAAACCCGGGACGTACTATAAATGATCGAGATATTAGAAAATTATTTAGCGAAGCATATAATCAAGTTGCCGTTTAATCCAAATATTTTTTTGAATCATGATTTTGTTTTTGCAAAAATCATAGATAGACCAATTAAAAATATTGAAAAATATTCGCAAGTTATATAGTTATCATTCGAGTTATAGAAACAGGACCAATAAATGAAGATCCTACCACATGTTGGAAAAATAAACCTATTGGTTATTGAAATTCCAGCAAAACTACCAGTTTTGCCAATGGCAATAATATCTGTTTCCAAACGTCAACCTAAGGCCAAAATACAAAGTTCAAAGATAAAAAGCTTACCAGTCAAATCCATATAAGAAATTAAAGAACAAGGGCTCCAAACTGTTATGAAAATAATTATGTTACTAAGCAATTTTTAAAAGCTGAAGGTTAAAATGTATTAATTTTGTTATTTATGTTTCTAATTACAATAATTTTAATATAGGTATAGGTACCTACTCAATATATTTAAAGAATAAATTATTAAACAAAGTAGATACTCTATTTTTATTTTTAAAAAAATCTATTTGCTCAATAATTTATAATATAAATTACATACAGCAACTTAACCCTTTAAAATGTCGCCTTGCCCCATCATACGCGTAAGATAACAAATCCCGTTTCATTTGTGTAAGTACTTATTTTAACTTATTTAAAAAATAAATAAGCTCAACGTTTATTTTAGAATAGTCTTGAAAAGTTTCTATATATATATTTTAAGAATTTATGTATTTATTTAAAAAAAACATTGAATCTTAGATTTGTCAACTTAATTAGGTCTCCCATACTAAAACAATACCTTCATAATTAATTTTTTAATATGTTGTTTATTTTACAAACATTTTTTGTAATAATATAATAAGTACCCCTACAAGAACTGGCCCTAAGGGTAGATCTTCAATTTCCTGATAGTCCAATCCACCCTTGATAAAGCTTGTAGGTAGGTACTAATAGATTACCTATAGGTATATATAATATTTATGAATACATTTCATTCTGCTATGGATAGTTTTCAGGATAGGTACCTACAGGCTACAACAGACTACTTCTAATTTGATGTCAACAAAATAAAATAAAAAAATTAATTTCACTAAAAACATATTTAATTGTATAATAGTATAATGATAAATTATTGATATCAAGAAATATATTTTTGTTTATAGATAATTTTTACACTGGGCAGCATAACATCAATTTTTGGATCGTGCTTAGTTTTCTTCAATCCAAATAATGAACTAACATACCATTACTTATGTTTGGCAGCTATATGTTTTGGTAATAAATATTTTATTTGTAATGATAAAATATTTCATAAAAATTATAATTATATTGTACAAGAAAAAAAACAAAATAACTTTACAGTAACTGAATGATTTGTTGATATACACTTACCTGCTAGAAATATTTTAGATCCTTAAGAAATAAGTTTTTATTCTATAATATCTAATTAATGAGTAAAACAAAAAACTTTTAAATATTTAAAATTTATTATTTTGTTAAAAAAATCAAATTAGTATAACAATACTTTATTAATTTTAGGTTCAGGATCTGCAATTACTTCGGTTCTAAGTCTTAGCATCACAGCCAACTTAATTGGAAATGATACAGACTGTGGAGCATTCATTTATAGTGCAGTAACATTTTCTGATAAATTGATCAATGGTTTGGTAATCATTGGAATAGAATTAATGTAATTTACTAATTTTATTGTATTTTAACAAATTAAAGATAATTAATTAGCTTATTTTCTTTATAGGAAATGTACAAATTTGGAAGAATGTTCTCACTACTATAGGGATGTCTTGGCATTTAGCAGTGGATTACTTGCCCTAATAGGTTTATTCGTATTTTTATCAATACCAAAAAAACTTATAAAAGCATCAAAAAATGCATCATCTCACATAGGTTTTTAATTAAATTGTTGATATTATGAAACTTGAATGTTCCTTTGTTATTTTAAGGATTTAGACTTATAAAGAGTATAGATTGAATATTTTTATAAATTAATAAATATACACACATATATATATAAATATTATGTTTTTAATTTTGTATTCTATATTTAAACAAACTTTTTAAAAATATTATTAAAATTGTTTTATTCTAAGACAATGGAGTTTTCCGGGTGAATGGAAATTCTTCCCTACTATGATACGGTTCATATGGATCATCTGGATAATACCTTCTTTTCTTCCAATATTTAGTTGTCATTTTATCTAAAAGTGTAGATTGTTTGGCATTACAAAATACATGTTGCCTTAATCTTCGTTTTCTATTGGCTGGTTTTTTCCACAATTTCTTTTGTCGTCCACATTTTGTACGGATCCATATACCCCTAAAATCATACATACACATATTAAAATAATAAAATAATGTAATGAAAAATTTAAATATACAGAACTAGATTTTTATTATCAAAATATATAAAAATTATAATCATATATTGTATTATAGTTTAAACATACAAAAATTAGTTGTTAATATTATGAATTATGAAATAAACTCATTTTGATTTGATTCAAAATAATATAAAAAATTTTATTTTAAATACTAAAAATATTTACCATCCCAAACGATAAAAACGATCAACAACTGTTTTAACTGTTTTCCTTTTTCCCTTTTTTAAGGAAAATTTTGTTAGACTCCTGTTTTGTTGAGTGTTGCTATCACATCTATAATTAGATATAATCATCAACAAAAGAAAAATATTATTAATAATAATTATTGATTTTATCATAGATAAAACAATATTACTTTATTTAGAAAGTAATTTTATTTTATATTTATACAAATACAATTTTTTTAAAATAATTTCTAAAATACACTATAATCATTTAAATGAACTTGATATTTTAGAATAAGGATGGATAACTGGTAGTCTGCATACTTTTTTATCCGGCCCATCCTAAATTTTTAAAATACTTCATAACATATCATATCATATATTACATTTTATAACGTTGATCGTAAAATGTAAGTATTATATTTTTTTCTAATATTTAACTGCAGCAAATTTATTAAATGTTTAAATATAATAGTTAAATAATTTAAATATAAATCCATATTGGCATAGCTAATAGCTATAGATATCGAGTAAGTATTGGGTGCCATTGTAGCGTGCAATCTACCAGCTCGTTTTGAGTTAGATTTCTGATCTAACCAGCAAGTATTATATTAGCTTAGTCTTCAAATTAAATTATATAAAATTAATGCTAATTGTCAATTTTATTGATCTTTTTTTTACTTTTTGTATTTTTTACTCTGGTCCACCGGATTTTATAGTTCTTTGAATTGACACTCAAGTTACTTTGAGTTGCCCATCTCCGTTTTAGAATATAAATTGCTAAAGAAATATTCCTAATTGAATATGTTAACTGCAGTAGTATGTTTTACACTCGCAAATGATTTATCATTTATACTTAAAAATATATAAGTATAAATTAAACTTAAAATAAAGAAAAGAATGTTCACTACAATTCATGATATTTTATGAAAAATGATTAACAATAATAATATTTCTATGAGGCACTTAAAAATGAATTATACACTTTACAAATAAAAAATACAAATGAACAACTAATATTGTTTCATAATATATTTTATATAATACAAAATCATATTACAATTAAATGAAGAACCCGCATTAATTTTCTTAAACGAGTTAAAATTAAATAATTAAATAAGTTCTTATTAAATATAATTTACTTACATTATTTTAGATTCAACAAAAGAATTATTCTTATGCAATATTCTTTCAGTTGATTTCCAATTAGATGATAAAACAGATGAATAACATCTACTTTTTTCCAACAAGTAAGAACTCTTATCTAAAGAGTTTAATAGATTAAACCCAGAAGTTTTACATGGAACATTTTTTGCTTGAGACTGAATAAGACGAATACCTCCTGAAAATATAACATATACTATTTTAAAAACCAATATTAATAAATAAGCAATTTCTGAGTCTACACTTGTTTGAAAGGTGAAATCAACCGAATCGATATATTGTTATAGTAAAAAAATAGCTGTACCACAGCTAACTGGTTTAACATTTCAATCGAATGATTTTAGAATTTTGTTTCTCTAGAGAATTGTAATGCAATACTTATAATTGAATTCTTATAAAAGACCCAAATAAATATCCGTGATAAGCTCAATTGGTAGTCATATTTTTGGAATATCAAGTAAATATAGAAGTAGGCACGTATTTATACAATACCGGTTAACATGAGAGTATCATAAATATTAATCGCTGACAATATGAACTCGTGACATAAAAAAAATTACTCGAAAACATGTCAATTTTGGAACTTTGAATATTCTAATAATGTTCCTCGCAAAGTACAAGCGGACAACAAATTTAAACGTAAACTAACCAGATAGCATAGATCCACAGACCCGTCTAAACATTTTTAACCGGTAAGCGAAACAATTTGCTCAGCAGCTCATCACTTTGCTGTTTTGAAAACACGATGACATACAACGCCGATTACTGCATGAGAAATTCCGAATTCGATGTCGATTGTCGAGGGGTATCAGTCGGGGAGTAGTGATAAAGTGATGAGCCGTAATCACATTTCACAGGATATTGGTAACAAGGTTTATAGATCTAGGTTTGTAGTCTTGCGTTGGTAGTACCGACCGCCTAGTGCCTGTTAGTCAGCTTATTGTAGCTTTAATGGCGATAATATCTATTTTTTGCACTATTTTTAACATATGTAAGTCAACCGCCAACACGATCAAAACGTGTGATAGTCATTATATAATACTACGGTCTTAAGATCTATCTTCTAAAACCGTCTGATATCTTCACTTTTTAAAATACCATATATTGTTCTGTGATAATAATTTCATTATTAAGAATAATTATTATTGTCATAATTTCTTATTATAAAATATAATTTTTAATCAGCCATATATATCGTGCATAGGTTAGCTATTAAATGTATGCGATATATTATTATGATATTACATAAATGTTCAATCCGGTATGAACAACAAGTTCTCGGCCCATTATCAATATCGTATTTACATGTTTAGCATTTACCCGCATAAAATACGAATCGGTAACAGACCACATTGGGAAAAGTATTGAGAAAAACGTAAGGTTTCGACCACCCGAATTGAGATTTGTATTCACTTTGCTCCTAGAGAAGAAGTAGTAGTCGGACCGGTATAATAATGATCTGAGCATTATCTATACAATAATAACAATACGATCGTATTCCGTACTGATAATGTGATAACAAATAAAACCATTGAATACCCCACTTGTGGCTTTTTATTAATAATAATGCGTTCGAGTACAATCATTATTAGCCATATAATTTGTATGTGTTTCCGTGGTTGTGACGATTTGGCTCAGAGGATCAGAGAGGACGCGATGAATGCGAACCGCCTTAGAGATCGCAACTGCCGTCCGACTTGATGGATCAGACGGTCGACGAGAGTTAACCGTCGTCGTCGTCACACGCAACAGAAGACAAAGAACCGAGTGAATAACAATCGGTGCACGTGAACCCGTTTGCCCTTCTTTTGTTCTCGTACCTACGCACACATCCGCTGTGGTCGTTTCCTACGTCACAGCGGAAAATGGACTTGGCGCGACGCAACAACGCATAAATACTCGAGAGCTCTGATGTGCATCGGTTTGTTATTGTTCTGTCGTCTGGCCGTTGCTGGTAGTCTCCCCTAGTGCTCGTCAAACGTTTGAGGATGATCGATCACGCGCCGTTCTTCGCCATTCTCCTGGCATTATTTTCACACGGCCACCATGTGCAATGCTTATCGTTCTTCCACTTCGTAGAGGATCCGCCGCCAGTCAAGGATATCGCCGCCATGGCCCGATACATAGTCCATTATTCAGGTATTTGATTTGATTTTTTTTTTTTTTTTCATTCCGTCATGTTTATACATTTTCGATTTTCCCCCACAGTTCCCAAGGTTTTTGGGACATTTTTTTTTTCATTTGAACTAAGTTCGGTTTTCGAGGTACATCTTACTGTTAAAGGTATAATAAATCAAGGGATCAAGCTATATTGTTTTCAATCGACTTTGCGTGATTGCATAATTTTGTTGTCGTTTAGCTTAACAAAGAAAATCTTAAAATGTTTTCTATTTACACACTTGTTTTTCTGAACTACAGCTGAGAGACAAAGAACTTTGGATTAAGTAATGAAAGTATATACTAAGCTAGAAAATATTGGGTAATAAATCTACAATGAAAGTGACATGCAGCATATTTTTAGACAAAATATTGAACAAAGAATTAGAGTTCTTAAAAAAAAAGAATAAACTTTGTTTTCATTATTTTTAATAGTATATATAAATAAAAAAAATATATATCAAATATCTTCAATAACTGTTGATTTATTATTATTTTTATTATTATATATTATTTATATTTAATTTTATTAAAATTAAGAATATTTTGATTGCTTCACAATATTATAAAGCAGTTTATTTTCAAACCATTTTACATAAGTAATATAATTAAATAATATAGGAGATAAAGTAAAGATTATATTCATATACTTAAACACTTATAAAATACAACAACTCTTATGAAATGTTGATATTCATAAATATGTAAAAATAAATTTGGATATCAGAATCTATTATGACCTAAAAAAATATCAAAACATATAGAGATCACATTTTAAATTTATAATAAAATTACATTTCATTTAAATAATAAAATAAATATAGTGTTTTTTTCTAGTATTACAAATATTATTACTGTATAATTATGAATAATTATCTATGGTATAACAATAAATGAAATGCGTAAATATTTATAAATTTTATTTAGTATTGTATTCTGTATATTATTTATCCATTTTTATTGTTAAATTTTGAAATGTTATTATTTAGATTGGACAACTTTGTCTTACATTGGAAATCAATCATTCATGGATGGTATGCCAATGGGTAGGGTATATTCAATTAGTGATGGAACAATCAAAAATAGTACTGGTATACCATACATCATGGCTTCACCCATGGACTTATCTTTTCAGGATGTCATGGTAAATATACATCATTAAAATAGTTTCTTAATTTAGTTTTACAATTTATTCCAGTTATTTAAACAATAAATGATAATATTATATGAGTAATGTTACATAATAAAAAATTCATAAAAGCTTACATTTTTTTGTTTATAAATTTATTATTCATTTTTTTTTTTTCAGAAAACAAAAAACTGTTCCCTTGTACTGAGTCTTGCTCAGTCAAATTACTGCAATCAAAAATCTTATGATCCTGAGGATCCACGTTGTGCCCAAGTTATTTTGACAGGACAATTTGTGAAGGTATAGAATATTTAATAAGCTATATATATATATATATAGCTTATTAAATATTAATTAATTTAATTATTTATATATTTTTAATTTATTTTAGTTGAATAAAGATGATCCTGAATATAAAATAGCTAAATTAAGTTTGTGGACAAGACACCCTATTATGCGTAAATGGAACATTGATGTTCCAGGTAAATTATTTTAACTTCAAAATTTAATAAATTATTTTATTTATTAATAAATGTTATTGTTTTATTAATTTAGGTCATAAGTGGCAATTTTGTAAAATAAATATTGAACACATTACACTCATTGATACATTTGGCGGTCGTAAATATCCGAGTATTGAAGATTATTTTAACGCAAAACCATTAATAAAACACTTACCAAAGTTGAGACGTTCGGTACTGACATTTAAAAAAGAAGTAATTATTGATGATGAATATTAAAATAGTTATGTATTAGTTTCAATTAAAATGTGTTGATAACTTATGCTAAAAATTGCCATTTAAAATTAATAGACTGATTTATCATTTAGTGTGCTAAATAGTAGTTAACTATTTTTATTTGTTAACATTTTAAACACATGATGTTTATAGTTAAATCTGTCAAAGATGACCTGTGATCTCACAGGTTTAATCTTGGTCAGTTTTTATTTAGGTGAAATATTGGAAATTACTTATGAATTTAAAATGTATAAAATAATTATTAATAATATATATATATATTTATGTATCAATTGTAAACATATTTCTCTTGCTCAATCAAATAAATTATGAATAAATGTAATTGTTTTGTGTATTTATACTTATTATAATCTTAAAGCCTTTAAATGCTGCATACCATATTATTGATATATAGTATTTAATATATATATTGATTATGTAGTACTTTTTATACTTTTTATACTATGTTATCTGTTAATGAAACATATCAATGCCCTAATCAGTTAAATTAAGTATGATTATGAATGTTGATAATTTATTATTGGTACTGTTTATTACAATTTAATATTTCATATTATATTTGAAAAAAAGTAAAAAATGTTAGTTAATTAAGTATACAGTAGAGCATCGATAGTCCGGACAAATCAGACTAATCGTTGTCTGGATCACTGGAAATTGTTCAGGATTACCTAAACAAATTAATAAGATTTTTATTTTTATGTCCACCACCTTTATATTTATTGAACTTTAAATTGTAAAATAACTTTAATATAATGAACAAAGGTGGGCAAGTTAGTGAAAATAATTAAATCGAATTAAGTTAAGAGAGCACCAGATCGATAAGTTAACAATTCATTAATTTAACTCAATAAAAATTTAAATAAGTTAAAAGTTAATAAGGAGTAAAATGTTAACTCTTTTTTAAAAAGAGTTAATTACCTTTGTTTAATTATTATATATATTACATAAAAAGTGAATATGTTTGAAAAATACTATGACATGGTACATGAAGGGGCCACTCTCTACCGTATTTATTTATCTTTAAATTTAAAATTATTTATACATAATATTCTGTATCCCCGGCCGGAACCTAATACCCTAAGGTGAGCCCCAACATACAAAATCTAATATGATATCTGATGTGCATTGTAGTGACCATTTTACTTTACACGATTATTTAATTTTTATATTAATATTTGTGTATAAATGAAAAATTTCAATTTTTTTTAACTTGATAAATCATTTTTAAATCAACTGTGAAAAGCTAAATTATTCTAACAGTTAATTTAACTAGTTAATGCCCACCTTTGATAATGATTTATAAAGAAAAAAAACTGTATAATAGTAGAACTTAAGAGGACATGTAACCAAAACGTGTACGCGTGTAACATCGGAGAGAACACGCTATTAAAAGTATAGTATATTAGCCAGTTTTTTTTTTCTGAATAATACCCTTAATTTTCATTTCAAGAGTACGTTCTCTTAATTGACAAACCATTATACTATTATATGTACAAGATATCGCTTTAAGATTTATGATTTATATGTTGACCGGATTACCGCATTCACCAGCTTATCGGGGGTCTGAGGATGGCAATGTTTAAAGGAAAAGTACTCGGGAAAATGTATAAGGCACACTTTGATGCCCAGACAAATGAATGGAGAGAACTACACAACGATGAACTGCAATCCCTTTTTCAGCGACCAAATATACTAAAAGAGATTAATTAAAATAGCAATATTACATTCCAGTATTGAATTCATGGAGATGAGAAAACGAATGACAGAGAGATCACACGAAAACGGGGTACCTATATAATGAGGTGCTTAACAGACCCGTATTCAGATGTGTTTTAGTCCGATAGTAGCAAGCACCTCCACGCCAGTTTATTTCACAATTAAATTTTTTGGGCTTAGAATTATTTCACGACTAATGTTTGAACTTAAAATATTTTATAATAAACAGTTACCTATTCAATTTATAATTGAGTTATTATTTAAAACATTCTCCTCTCTATTCAACACTACGCAACAACTAGAACTATAAAGTGTTTTTATTTTTATTTTTCTAAGTGTTTTTAAAAATTTATTATTATATGACTGGTTTGATCGCTGTCATTGTTACTGTTGATAAGAAGTTCAAATATATTGTAACTGTACCATCGAGTAGCCTCATCTATACACCAACATTTACTTTAGACTTTGCTGCCAGATTTTCGACAAAACAATAAAAATCAAGAAAACCCACGACATATTTATTGTTAAACATTTTCATAACTTTTAATTTTTATATTTAAGACTAAAAATTGGATACAACATTTTTCGTAATATTTTCTTTGTGGCAATAATAAAAAGAAATTACTGGAAAGTGGTAAAAAAGTTTTATAAAGATTACAAAATGAAATTTTGAAGAAATCTGACATTTTATTGAAATTATTTATTTAGTTATTATCTTGTAAATATTAACCCGTGAGTTGATACATTTACTGATTACCTACTTACTCGTACCTATATAAGCATTTAAAGGACAGTTCATAGTTTTGAACAATTTTTAATGTTTATGTCGATTTCTTAAATTTTAAATTCCTTTTTTGCAAAAGTTGGAACATTAAAAGTTCAACCAACCTTATTAAGAAATTTGGTTCTGTTACTTTATCAACCATCTTTATAAATATAAAATGATTCATCCCTATTTCACACAAAATCGATTTTTTGATAGCATTTTTGGAATCAAGTTTAAAATACTAATACAACAGTACCATTCACCCATCTCTGTATCTCACCCAACCATGGAGACTTACTCGACTTAGAAGTTTAGCTCTTTTTTTTTTTTTTATTTATAATTATAAGAATCACAAAATGTAATAATATTAGTGGTTCCATGTAGTGTAAATCTTATCTATTTACACATAACAAATTTCAAAATATGTGCATTTAATGTTACATAAAAACCATGTTTACTTTTTATATAGCAATATGCATAAGTATTTCTGAAGACGTTTAATATTATTTTCAGTTTTATAATGCACAATTGAACTCATCGTTTTCCATTCTTTCAAAATTGTCGTCTGTTACTAAATTGTTTCAAGTGTCACTGTTTTTGATCTCGAGTCTTAACTTTTCTAAAAATGTTTCACTATCTTTGATTACATTTTCGTTATCAACTTGAATGTTTTCGGGCAAAATCTAGAACAAGCAAACAAACACTATTAAAAAAAAATCACTTTTTAATTTAACTCACAACAGTTTTAGAACTTACATCGTTAATTGAAATCATTATGCTGCTATGAATTATTAAATTAAAAAATACATTTTTTTCTTGAAGTGTAAGAATTTTAAAAACGGATTTTATAATTTCAGTTAAAAAAATATAATTTCTTGTAATCAATTGTTGCGATTTAATTTCGTTTTGTTATACAGTAAAACGTCTATACAGTGGACAGTCACGGGGAATTATAAAATGTTCTCCTATAGGGAGACGCAATCAAAAATAAATTATCAAATACATGAGTACACGTTATTTACAGATCGATATCTAAGATATCTTCGTCGAGCATTTGACAGTTATCATTTGACAAATCCATGTTAAACTTGATCGACATGTTTACAGAAAAGCAAATTACATAACAATGATTACGTTTAAAAGTGAAAAATAACATTCTACCGCGCGTTTATTACCGTTCGTGTGTTGTCTCTCATATATTTCAATGCGTACAAACGGCCAAGTCCTTGTCGCGCGATATTTTTAACGCGCGGTAAATTCATGGTGCACGCGACAGTTTTTCGAAATAACTCGCGTTAATTTTAACACTCGTGTGTTGTGCTTTAATCATTTTAATGTACTTCAACAAAACGCGCTGTGAAATTACGGCGCGGTAAAAATGTTGCGCTGTAAAATATCGCCAGTGCATTTTATAAGGAATTTTCACTGGGCGAAAAAAAATGTTTTTCTCAAAATAGTGAATGTAATACCATAGTACGATTACAGTATTATACGTTTGTTTCACATTATTTTGCCCAATATTTCAAAATATTGTCGACAGAGTATAACCACTGGATGACATTTGTGTCGCCTAGTTAACTAGTTAACTATGTAACTAGTTAAAAACTGCATTGAATGTTGCTCGTATTTTGCCGGTACTTCTTCCAAGGCTAGGAACACACGGGTGTTATTTTGCTGCGTAACATTTTTACCATCTATTTACGAAGCGTTTCGTTCGTAGTATATTCAATTGAATAATGTGCAACACACGAGTGTTGCGCTGTAAAATTAACGCGCGACATTTCGAAAACTGTCCCGTGTACATTGACTTTACCGTATGTTAAACATTTCCTGTCGAAATACATTAACATGTTACGTGGAGAGCACACATGAAATAATAAAACACGTGGTCGATTATTATTTTATTTTCAATAATTGTGAATTTGTCATCTGTATCCCATAGTCAATATGTCAACAGAGGAGGAGTTGGCTCAAATTGAAATTATGAAGTTACACAATTCAAAATAATAAAAGAAAATTAGTCAGGCGATGTGATGACAAAAAAGAGGACGAAAAAAATGATATATATATTGGATTTCTTTTGATAATTTAAAGGATTAAATTAAATGCACCTTCGCAAGGATGCGGCATATCTAAAGGATGTAACCTATCTATTAATTAATTTTTTATATTTAATAAAAAGTTGGTTACCCAAAAAACAAAATAATATTTTCATCTGCCATGATGCTTTTGTCTAGTTAAAACATGGGAAGATACTAAATATAAATAAACATTATTTGCAACAATATATATTTATCGTGATTATCATAGCAAGTTCCAGTAAAATAACGTGTCTTAACACGTTCACGGCCACCCCATAATTTTAAATGTCGTATAAAAAAAACCACAACATAAAATTCATAAAATTCCATAGATATTATATAATCAATAGTTTGTATATAATTTCAAAAATAATACATAATTCCATAGGTAATATACAATCCATAGATTGTATACAATACAATATTATATAATATAATTCAATTATGTTATCTATGGATTATATAATATCTATAGTGTTATATACAATCTATGGATTATATAATATCTATGGAATTATATACAATCTATGAAATCATATACATTCTATGGATTATATAATATCTATGGAATTTTATACAATCCATGGAATTATGTATTATCTTTGAAATTATATACAATCTATGGATTATATAATATCTATGGAATTATATACAATCTATGGAATCATATACATTCTATGGATTATATAATATCTATGGAATTTTGTACAATCTATGGAATCATATACATTCTATGGATTATATAATATCTATGGAATTTTGTACAATCTA